AGATTTTATAGTTACTATTGGACTTGATATAATAATTTTGTTTAAGCCCTTTACTACATCAATATATTTAAACAACGGTTAAAAAGTTTATAATTGAATAATTGATTATTGAAACAAATTAAAATTATAAAAAATGCTTGAATTTAAGCTTAATTACTTGCAGGCTCTAACTTGCTGGCAAGCTTAAAGTGTTGAGTTTAAGAGTGCAATGAAAGTAAAAATAAAAATTTTTCTTCTTCCAATCCATCTAAAATTCTTATAAATTTATTGATAATTAAGGAAAAGAAGAACCAACAGAGAAGAAATTCGTAAGTTAAATCACAGTTCTTCCATTCTATTACATTTGTAGAACTACATAATTTATAAGTTATTTAAGTTAAATTTGATTGATTTGATAAATGAGTCGAATTAAAATTTAATGTTGAATTTGGTGAAAAAACAAACTTGAATTTGAGATTACTTATTTACTCACAAATACTTAATTAAAAATTAAAAACTATTTTATATATTTACTACAATTTAAATATATAACAACTTAATTATAAACCTAAGAAGACTGAAAGTATAACTTAAATAAATTATATATTTTAAGTTTTTTAAAACTATTAATAAAAATATTTAAATAGAGTTTATGGTTATTTTTTAACAATTGAACTTAATATAATACTTTTGTTTAAACTTTTTTTTTTTGAACATTCATGAGAAGTTTAAACTTTTCATACTACATCATTTAAAAAAAAATATTGAAAAGTTTATACTTGAATAATTTGATATTGAAACAATTTAAATTACAAGAAAAAAAAAACTTAAATTTAAACTTAAAAGTACTCATTCTCTCAAATTTACAAAAAAAATCTAATCTACTTTAATACTCACGACTCAACTTAAGTTAACTCCTTGACAGCTCAAATCATCCATTTCTTTCGCCCCTCAAAACTTCAAGTAAACAAATTTAGAAGGAGAGGGGGAGAGAGAGAGAGAAATGAAAGAAATGATCTTCAATCAACTAATAATCTTAGTTCAAAAGACATTTAAAATGGACAAATTTTTTGTTACAAGTTCTCAAAATTAATAATAACTGACTTTTTTCAACTTAGTAAACCTTTTAATCTTAATTTAACATTTTAAAATTTTTAACAATTAGAACAAAGAACCAACAACAACAGTGCTACTAAATGGGCTTAGCTCTTGAGGTGCTGGTGTCATTGCAGCTCCTTCTCTACATAATTGGAATAGTGCGTGCACGTTGTCAATTATACACAGTTGCTCTAAGTTTTCTTTCTTCTTTCCCTTGCATCATAACATTTTCTCATTCATGTCAATTCTACAGTTGCTCTAAGTTTTCTTTCTTCTTTCCCTTGCATCGTAACATGCTCTCATTCATATATGCTGGGCAAAGATAGATGTGCTTGCTTGGGTTATATTACACTATAATTAATGCAGAATTACCTTTTTTTTTTTTTATAGTTATA